ATTACTGGTGATTGGAATGCAAAAGTTGGAAACAAAGAAGAAGTATTGGTAGTTGGAAAATATGGCCTCAGTGTTAGAAACGATGTCAGAAATCCCAGGATATAATTTTGCAAGACCAATGACTTTTTCATTGCAAATACCTTTTTTCAACAAAATAAATGGCAACCGTACATGTGGACCTTGCCAGATGGAATGCACAGGAATCAAATCGACTACATCTGTGGAAAGAGATGATGGAAAAGCTCAATATCATCAGTCAGAACAAGGTCAGAGGCCAACTGCGAACAGACCATCAATTGCTCACATACAAGTTCAAGTTAAAGCTGAAGAAAATTAGAACAAGTCCACGAGAGCAAAGTACAACCTTGAGTATATCCCACCTGAGTTTAGAAACCATCTCAAGAATAGATTTGATGTGTTGAGCAGTATGACCGAAGACCAGACGAGTTGAGGAATGACATAAAGGACATATTAACATGAAGAAAGAAAGAGGTCATTAAAAAGACAGGAAATAAAGAAAAGACCAAAATGGATGTCAGAAGAGATGCTGAAACTTGCTCTTGAACATCAAGTAGCTAAAACCAAAGGAAGAAATGATGAACTAAAAGAGCTGAACAGAAGATTTCAAAGAGCGGCTTGAAAAGACAAGTATTATACTGACATGTGCAAAGACCTGGAGACAGAAAACCAAAAGGGAAGAACACGCTCAGCATTTCTCAAGCTGAAAGAACTGAAGAAAAAAATTCATGCTTCAAGTTGCAATATTGAAGGATTCTACGGGGAAAATATTGAACGATTCAGGAAGCATCAAAAGAAGATGGAAGGAATACACAGAGTCACTACACCAAAAAGAATTGGTTGAATTCAACCATTTCAGGAGTTAACATATGATCAGGAACCAATGGTACTGAAGGAAGAAGTCCAAGCTGCACTGAAGGCACTGGCAAAAAACAAGGCTCCAGGAATTGATGGAATACCAATGAGATGTTTCAACGAACGGATGCAGCACTGGAATTGCTCACTCATCTATGCCAAGAAATTTGGAAGACAGCTACCTGGCCAAAGAACTGGGAAAGATCCATACTTATGCCTATTCCCAAGAAAGATGATCCAACCAAATGCAGAAATTATAGAACAAAATCATTAATATCACACACAAGTAAAATTTTGCTGAAGATCCTTCGAAAGTGGCTGAAGCAGTATATTGACAGGGAACTGCCAGAAATTCAAGCCAGATTCAGAAGAGGATGTGGAACATGGGGTATCATTGCTGATGTCAGATGGAACCTGGCTGAAAGCAGAGAATACTAGAAAGATATTTACCTGTGTTTTATTGACTATGCAAAGGCATTCAACCGTGTGGATCATAATATTATGGATAACATTGCTAAGAATGGGAATTCCAGAGCACTTAGTTGCGCTCATGAGGAACCTTTACATAGATCAAGAGGCAGTCGTTTGAACAGAACAAGGGGACACTGCATGGTTTAAAGTCATGAAAGCTGTGTGTCAGGGTTGTATCCTTTCAACATACCTATTTAATCTGTATGCGGAGCATATAATCCAAGAAGAAGAATGTGGCATCAGGATTGGAAGAAGACTCATTAACAACGTGCGTTATGCAGATGACACAACTTTGTTGCTGAAAGTGAAGAAGACTTGAAGCACTTACTGATGAAGATCAAAGACCACAGCCTTCAGTATGGATTACGCTTCAACGTAAAGAAAATAAAATTCCTCACAACTGTACCAATAAGCAACATCATGATAAACAGAGAAAAGACTGAATTTGTCAAGGATATGATTTTACTTGGATCCACAATCAATGCCCACAGAAGTAGCAGTCAAGAAATCAAAGGACGCATTGTATTGGGCAAATCTGCTGCAAAAGACCTCTTTAAAGTGTTCAAAAGCAAAGATGTCACCTTGAAGACTAAGGTGCGCCTGACCCAAGCCGCCGTGTTTTCAATTGCCTCATGTGCATGCGAAAGCTGGACAATGAATAAGGAAGACTGAAGAACTGACACCTTTGAATTGTGGTGTTGGCGAAGAATATTGACTATACCATGGACTGCCAAAAGAATGAACAAATCTGTCTTGGAAGAAGTACAACTGGAATGCTCCTTAGAGGCAAGGATGGTGAGACTACATCTCACATACTTTGGACACTTTATCAGGAGGGATCAGTCCCTGCAGAAGGACATGATGTTTGGTAAAGTAGAGGGTCTGAGTAAAAGAGGAAGACACTCAATGACATGGATAGCCATAGTGGCTTCAACAATTGGCTCAAGCATAACAACGATTGTGAGCATGGCGAAGGACCTGGCAGTGTTTCGTTCTGTTGTACATAGGGTCACTATGGTTCGGAACCAACTCAAAAGCACCTAACAACAACCCATGAATCACTAATTTTCTTAATGGAATCTAGAACCGTGAATCCTTTCCAGAAGGTTTTCAATTTACTTGCCCATATCCAACAGAGGAATTACTATCTATGGCAACTGTGGCCTTATGAAATGTATTTCTTAAATAATAAGACCTGAAAGTCAAAATTACTCCTTGATCCATGGGCTGCAGAATAGATGTTGCTTTAGCAGGCATGAAAACAACATTAAACTCTTTGTAAATATGCATCAGATCTCTTGGGTGACCAGGTGCATTGTCAATGAGCAGTAATATATTGAAAGGAATCTTTTTTTCTGAGCAGTGGGTCTCAACAATGGGCTTAAAATATTCGGTAAACCATGTTGTAAACAAATGTGCTGTCATCCAGGCTTTGTTATTCCATTTATAGAGCACAAGCAGAGTAGATTTAGCATAATGTGTAAGAGCCCTAGGATTTTCAGAATGGTAAATGGGCATTGGCTTCAACTTAAAGTCACAAGCTGCATTAGTCCGTAACAAGAGAGTCAGCCTGTCCTTTGAAGCTTGAAGCCAGGCAGTGACTTCTCTCTAGCTATGAAAGTCCTAGATGGCATCTTCTTCCAAAAAAAGGCTGTTTCGTCTACATTGAAAATCTGTTGTTTAGTGTATCCACCTTCATCAATTATCTTAGCTAGATCTTTGGGATAACTTGCTGCAGCATCAGCACTTGCTGCTTCACCTTGCACTTTTATGTTATGGAGATGGCTTCTTTCCTTAAACTTTTGTGCAACCCTAAGCCTTAATCAATGCAGTTTTTCCATCATCATAAACCGAAACTCAGTACTCCATAAGCAATAACCTTCATTTTCCCCTCCCTCCTACCCCTAGTAACCACTAATAAACTTTGTTCTCCATACATTTTCCTGTTCTTGTCTTTTTATATAAGTGATGCCAAACAATATTTGTCCTTTTGTGATTGACTTGTTTCAGTCAGTATGTCTTCAAGCTCCATCCATAGCTAGCATGTATCAAAACTTTGTTTCTCTTTCTGGCTGAGTAGTATTCCATTGTATGTACCACATTTTGTTTATCCATTCATTCTTTGATGGGCATTTAGATTGTTTCCACCTTTTGGTTATAATGAATAATGCTGCAGTGAACACTGGTGTACCTATGTCTATCCACATCGCTGCTTTCAAGTCCCTTGGGTATATTCCTAGCACTGGAATTGCTGGATCATATGGCAGTTCTATTTCTAGTTTTTTGAGGAAACATCACATTGTTTTCCTCAACCGCTGTACATTTTGCATTCCCACCAGCAACGGATAAGAGTTCCAATTTCCCCACATCCTTACCAACATTTGTTATTTTCTGCTACTGTTGTTTTGTTGTTTTTATCTTAGCCATTCTAGTGGGAGTGAAATGGTATCTCATTGTGGTTTTGATTTGCATCTCTCTGATGGCTAATGACATTGAACATCTTTTCATGTGTTTAATGGTCATTTGAATATCCTCTTTGGTGCAATGTCTGTTCAAGACCTTGGCCCACCATTTTTATTGGGTTATTTGTCTTTTTGTTGTTAAGTTGTTAAAGTTTTAAATATATATTGGTTATTATATTCTTATCAGATATGTTTTCCAAAGATATTCTCCCAGTTGGTAGCTTATTTTTTCGGTACAGTCTTTTGATGAACAAAAGTTTTTAATTTTTATGAGGTCGCATTTATTTTGTTTTTTGCTGTTTGTTCTCTTGTTATTATGGTAGATAATCTATTGTTAAAAGCTAGGCCTGACAGTGCTGTTCCTGCATTTTCTTCTTCTTCTTTTTATGATTTTAGCTTGCACATTTAGGTCCTTAATCCATGTTGAATTTGTTTTTGTGTATGGTGTGAGGCATGGATCCTGTTTCATTTTTCTGCATGTGAAAATTCAATTTTCCCAGCACCATTTATTGAAGAGACTCTTCTTTCCCCATTAGATGGACTTAGCACCCTTGTCAAAAATCAGTTGACCATAAATGTGTGGGTTTGTGTCTGGACTCTCAATTCTATTCCATTGGTCAATGTGTCTATTATTATACCAATACCAGTCTGTTTTGATTATTGTAGCTGTATAACATGCTTTAAAATCAGGAAGTATGAGTCCTACTTTGTTCTTCTCTTTCAACATTACTTTAGCTATTCAGAGCCTCTGCCATTCCATATGAAGTTGAGGATTAGTTTTTCCATTTCTGTAAAGAAGACTGTTGGAATTTTGATTGGGTGTTGAATCTATAAAACCTATTATTAATGGAGAGGAGAAAAACTTCTATCTGATGGTCCTTGAGAATCTTGAAGATTTGGATTGTTTCTTCTCCAGGGTAAATAACCCATGCTCTTTAAAGTTTTTCAAGTTCTTATTGTCCTACCTTTAATCATCTTTGTCATTCACTTCCAGACTATCTCTTACAGTGATGCCTTTAAACTTTTATTAATAAGGGGTTAGCCACTGAAAAATCATAAAATAGAGGGAGGTTGTTTCACTGAGTTTTCTTTTAACAAATCTGCATTTAAGAACTAGTCAAAACATTATTTAAACAGCAACAACGTACTTTTACTAAGAATACTCATAATATGAGTCACAATATGTATACATACATTTAGCTTTCTGCTCTTCACTAATAATCTGAGCTACTCTCTTGGTAACTGCCCAGTTCCACAGGTTTACTGCCATTTCTTCCACCTGGATAAAGAGAAACATTTGTTTAGTCAGTTAAAATATTGTCCATCTCAAATGGTATTTTGTTTCTTGTATGTTTTATGCTTATGTGACTATTATGGGTCATTTCTAGGTCCTCCATAATCTTGTCCCATTCTCCCTCCCTCCCCTAAAAAACTTACATACCCTTAGGGTAATTATCTCACTATCCCCTGAACACAACTTATTCATTCCTATCTGTGTACCTTTATTCATACTATTGCCTTCACCTGATATACCTCTCTTCACTTAGTCTTTATGTAACTCAAATCCAGTTCACTCGCTAGCTCCATCCACAAAGTTTTTGGCAACCACTACAGTCTATATTAATCTCTCTCTTCTATGAATTCCTATATTTATTCGGTTTCACTCAATTGAGCAATTAATTATACTACTTTTATGATTCATATTTTAATTATTTTAGCTGTTATCATTTTCCAACTAAGATCCTTGACATAAAAGATAATGTTTTGTATAACTTATGTAGCACTTATTTGTTGCTGTTTTTAGGTGCTGTTGAGTCAGTACAACAGAACGAAACATTGCCTGGTCCTGCGCCATCCTCAAAATCATTGCTATGTTTGAGCTCCTTGTTGCAACCACTGTGTCAATCCATCTCGTTGACAGTCTTCCGCTTTTTCTTTGACCCTCTACTTTACTAAGCATGATGTAGAACTTTTAGTACCTGTCAAAGTGCTAAATAAAGGATACACATTAAAATAATATTTGTTGTTTTGTTATATTTCGTCTGGAGATTTGAGGAGGTTTCTAATAATAACTTCATTTGGAGTTTATCTTTCTGTTAGGTGGAACTATTGCCTGAGACCAGTGTGGCATAGCCCTGGCCTAAATCTCCAAGGTGATATGGAGATTATTATAGAAGCTATATCTTATAATATATCTTATAAAAAACATTTCAGTAGTATCTGGCTAAGAGGGATACTAACTGGATAAAACAAAAGAACACAACTTGTGCACAATGATAGTGCAAAATTGTATTTTACTTTTAAGTTTTTCTTCCAGTGTCAGTTTTCTCACCTACAGTTCTACATTTTTTCTGATACATTTCCTTCTAAACAGATGATTTATTTAGCTTGGTTGTCACTTCACTAACTATTCTGGGGCTAATTCTCATGACCATCTCCACCCTCTCACATAGTATCCCCAGGCCACAGTTTGTGTAACAATGACTTTCATATGAAGTATTATTTGATTTGTTTTACCAAAAACACATGAAGTTAATATTTGACTCCAAATTTCCCAGAGGAACAAATGGTCTGAGGTACTTGGGTGGGGAGTGGAGGAGGGGAATGAATATCCAGACTAAAGCAGCTTAAAGAGGCTTCCTTTTTTGGCATTTTTGGAAAACAATTTGACAATATGTATAAAACCAGCCAAGTCAAACCCATTGCTGTCAAGTCAATTCTGACTCATAGCAACCCTACAGGACAAAGTAGAACTGCCCCACAGGGTTTCCAAGGCTGTAAATCTTTACAGAAGCAGACTGCCACAACTTTCTCCCACAGAGCGGTTGCTGGATTTGAACCGCCGACTTTTTGGTTAGCAGCTGGGAGCCTAACCACTGAGCCACCAGTGCTCCTCACGATATGTATAAAGAGTCAAAAATTTTCATTCCTTTTGAGACTCTATTCAAAGGAAATAATGCAAAATGGAAGTAAGGCCTAAACTTTTCACTTAATAATGTTCCTCATATAATTATAACAGTGAAAACTGAGAAACAATCTAAATATCCATTAGTAAAGAAATAGGTAGAAGAATTATGACAAATCCCCTAGATGGACTATTATTCAACCATTTAAAATAGTGGTCATGGAAACTATGTTTAACATGGAAAAATGTTTATTATGTGCCTAGTGAAAAAACAAGATACAAAACTGTACATACGAAAAATAGTACATATATAAATTTTACTGAGAAAAAGAAGTATAATAAAATACTGCATTTTAGTTCATATTATGCATGCTGAAGTGTTTAGGGGTGAACTATACTGACGTCTGCAACTTACTTTGAAATGCATTCAAAAAATAAGGTAGGTTGATGGATACCCAAAAAAAAAAAACCAAACCCGTTGCCGTCAAGTCAATTCTGACTCACAGCAACCCTATAGGACAAGGTAGGACTGCCCCATAGGGTTTCCAAGGAGTGGCTAGTGGATTCAAAATGCCAATCTTTTTGGTTAGTAGACAAAGATAGATATGTAATAAAGTAAATATAGTAACATGTTAACAATGTAGAATCTAGGTCGTTGGTATAGATGTGTCCAATGTAAAATTCTTTCCACTTTTCTGTTTAAAAATTTTTATAATAAAATGTTGAGGAAAAAAATAAGAGGTTTCTGTTATGACACCAAAATCATTGCATGTACACTCTAATTATAGCTATATACATTTTAATACAGAAATTATTGAATACAACACATTAAAATGATAGTAGTTGTATTAGAGTTGTGTGATTATGGGTGATTTTTTTCCTCTATTTTTCAAAATTTCTGTAAAATTGTATTACTTTATGTTTTTCTTCATATTTCCCATGTTGTGTTAGAAAGAAAAGGATATGATGAAGAGTTTAACCACTTTATATGCTTATTTATTTAACAAATATGTATTGAGCACCTAATATGTGCCACTTGCTGTGCTAGGTTGAGGCAAATGTGTAATGATAAACACAGTAGACATATGCAGCAAAAAGAACTAAACAATATGAAAATTAGGCTTTCTAGAAAGAAAACAAATTCAAGCCACTTCCAAAACCAAGGAGACCTTCCTGTAATACAAGACCAAACTCTTGCCAATGAATTTCATAATTTGTTTTACCAATAACTAAACACAATGAGAGGTTATAATTTAAAAAGACACTTACATACTAAGAAATCCACTAAAAAAATAGAACTAGTGAATGAGTTCAGCAAAACTGAAGAATACAAAATCAATATACAAAAATCAACTGTACTTCTATACGTGAGCAATCAATAATCTGAAAATTAAATTTTTAAAAATTCCATTTACAATAGCATCAAAAATAATAAAATGCTTAGGAATTAATTTAACCAAAAATGTTGCAAAACTTATTCTCCAAAAACTAAAAATATTGTGGAAAGAAATTAAAGAACACTTAATAAATGGAACTATATCTTATTTTTATAGACCAAAAAATTTAATAGTGTTAAGATGGCAATACTCCCCAGATTCAACACAATCCCCATCAAAATGCCCGCTGGCTTCTTTGCAGAAATATTGACATGCTGACGCTAAAATTCATATGGAAATTCAAAGGACCTAGAATAGCCAAGACAATCTTAAAAAGCAAGAACAAACTTGGATTCACACGTTCCTATTTCAAAACTTAGTACACAACTACAGTAATCAAGACAGTGTGGTAGTAGCAGGGGTGGATTAGCCAATAGGCAAGGTAAGCACGATGCTTACTTTGCTTACCAGATCATTTGTAGTAAACAACTGCATATGAGTTTCACCACATCAAAGATTCGGCTTCTAGGTATGGCTGGCATCGGTCTCTCCCAATCCCACAGCACATTCCTACAGAATCAAAACCTCTTTTCAAATTTACAGTCCCTGACAGGGGCAGATGACCCAGTAAGCAAGGTAAGCATGGGATTACTTATGCTTACTTAGTGAAATTGTGCTTACCTTGCCTGTTGGATAATCTGGTCCTGGGTACTAGCATAAGGATAGCTATATAGATCAATGGACTACAATAGAGTCCAGAAATAAACCCTCATATTTACAGTCAATTGATTTTTTACGAGGGTGCTAAGACAATTCAATGGGAAAAGAACAGTCTTCTCAACAAATGGTACTGGGACAACTTGATATCCACATGCAAAAGAATGAAGGTGAATCCCTTCATCACACCATACACAAAAATTAACTCAAAATGGATCATAAGCCTAAATATAAAACCTAAAACTATAAAATTCTTAAAAGAAAATATAGGAGTAAATCTTCATGATCTTGAGTTAGGCAATCCGTTGCCATCGAGTCGATTCTGACTCATAGCAACCCTAAAAAGGACAGAGTAGAACTGCCCCATAGGGTTTCCAAGACTGTAAATCTTTACGGAAGCAGACTGCCACATCTTTCTCCTGTGGAGTGGCCAGTGGGTTTGAACAGCCGACCTTTCAGTTAGCAGCTGAGCACTTACCCACTGCACCACCAGAGCTCCTTTGAGTTAGACAAAACTTTCTTAGATATGACACCAAAAGCGCAAGCAATAAAAGAAAAATAAATAAATTAGACTTCATCAAAATTAAAAACTTTTTTGCTTCAGAGGATACCATCAAGAAAGTAAAAAGACTACCTACAGAATGAGAGAAAATATTTGTAAATCATATATCTGATAAGGGACTTGTGTCTAGAAAACATGAAGAACACTGCTCAATAGTAAAAACACAAATGGCCCAAATAAAAAATTGGCAAAGGATCTGAACAGATATTTCTTAAAAAAAGATATACAAATGGCCAATAAGCACACTAGCCATCAGAAAAATGCATATCAAAATCACAATGATACCATTTCATATCCACTGCTGCTGTTGTTGTTAGGTGTTGTTGAGTCAATTCTGACTTTTGTGACCCCATGTGACAGAGTAGAACTGCCCCATAGGGTTTTCATGGCTGCAGTCTTTATGGAAACAGATCACCAGGTCTTTCTCCTGCAGAGCCACTGGGTGGGTTTGAACTGCCAATCTCTCAGTTAACAGCCAAGCATTTAACTGTTGTGCCACCAGGGCTCCCTTCATACTCCCTAGGATGGCTATAATAAAAAAAAAGACAGATATTACCAAGTTTTGGCAAGGATGTGGAGAAGTTGGAGCCCTCATACACTGATTGTGGTGGAGTTAATTTGAAAAACAGTCTGGCCATTCCTCAAAAGATTAAACCTAGGGTTTCCATATGACCCAGCAATTCCGCTCTTAAGTATATACTCAAGGGAAATAAAAACATAAAAACCTGTACACTAATGTTCATAACAGCATTCTTCATAATAGCCAAAAGGTAGAAACAACCCCAGTATCCATCAATTGATGAATGGATAAACAAAATGTGGTATATCCATACAATGGAACATTATTCAGCAATAAAAAGGAATGAAGTACTGATACTTTCTTACCACATTGATGAATCTTGAAAACATTATGCAAAACAAAAGAAGCCAGCCACAAAAGACTACATATTGTATAATTCCCTTTATATGAAATATTCAGAATAGACAAATCCATACTGAAGGCAGATTAGTGGTTATCTAGTTCTGGGGTAATGGAAGGAAATGGAGAGTGGCTGCAAAGGGTTTCTTTTTGGAGTGATGAAAATAGTCTAAATTTGATTATGTTTATAGTTGCACTACTCTGAATATACTAAAAGCTATTGACTTGTACATCTTAAATGGGTGAATTGTACGGTATGAGAATTATATTTCAATAAAGCTCATATAAAATAAAGAGAGAGACAGAGAATTACAATAAACTTTCTTCTCACCTTTATATCAGTGCAGTCATCAAAATGGAAGGATTTGCCAAGGTAAATGTTCCTAAAAGTGTTTTAGAACCTCAAGGCATTTTCCAAATTAAGCGACAGACCTTCATTTAAATATTAGAAAAGTTAACCCCCATGAAAACACCACCTAAAGGCTTATATTCAACTTAATTCCTCACTACCCGGCAGTTTCCTACTTGGCTGCCCTGGTGGTGCAGTGGTTAAGAGCTCGGCTGCTAACCAAAAGGTCAGCAGTTTGAATCCACCAGCTGTTCCTTGGAAACCCTATGGAGCAGTTCTACTCTGACCTATAGGGTTACTACGACTCAGAATCAACTCAGTGGCAATGAGTTTGGGTTTGGTTTTTTGTTTTTCTTTTTGTTTGTTTGTTTATTCAGCCCAGCATGTCTGTCACCTTGTCATACTGTGGTGGCTTGTGTGTTGCTATGATGCTGGAAGCTATGCCTCTGATATTTTCGATAACAGTAGGGTCATCCATGATAGACAGGTTTCAGCAGAGCTTCCAGACTAAGATAGACTAGGAAGAAAAGCCTGGTGATCTACTTCCAAAAATTAACCAATGAAAACCCTATGGATCACAACAGAATATTGCCCAGTATAGTGCTGTGAGATGAGCTCTCTAGGTTAGAGGCGCTCAAAATGTACAGTGGCCGCAACAATGGACTCTAGCATATCAAGGATCAGGAAGATGGTGCAGGACCAGACAATGTTTTCTTCTGTTATAAATGGGGTTGCCAAGAGTCAGAGCCAACTGACGGCAACTAACAACAACATCAACCCAAGACCTTATATACATTATTTTTTTTAATATTTACAATAACTCTGGAAGGTGAGTATTACTATCCTCTTTTAACAGGTGAGAAAACTGAAGCTCAGAGAGGTTAAATAATAAATATTAAAATTAAGCACATATTTTTCTACTGGTTTCTAAAACCTCACTTTCCCTAAATGTTCCATTAGGTTTGAAAAATCCCAAAATAGATTTCTATATGTTTAGCAATGGTTAATCATGAATATTACTTTTTAAATTATCCATTAGTTAAAATGATGACTCAGTGAAAATTATAAGTAAAATTATTTTTATACCAACCTGAGCATCCTGTATTTCAGCCATAGACTCCCTGTTGATATTTGCTATGTCCGTGAAGAGTCTATCAATTGCATCAGGTATGCTAGGTGAATTATCTTTTACCATCAGGTTTTCGACAATGTCTGAAATAACAGTTGATGATAAATGTGCTGTGAACCACCACGTTTGCTAAAAAAAGCAAATCATTTTGAAACCTATTCCTAGTTTGAATAAGAGTGGTCTTTGGCCAAATTAATACAGCATGAAGGAACTTCAAATGATTCTTGGGGTAAAACCAAGCTGGAGATAAAAATGTTTTCAGCTAAAGATCAAGTACAATTTTCAAGTAAATTTGTATTCCCTGGGAGTCACTTTTTTTTTTAACTTAACCACCATTACTCAGTCTCAGAAAGTAAAATGCATTGACTTCACAAATAGTAATGTTATAGGTAAATCTTAAAAGTACAAAATAGAAGTTAATGCATTTAAAACTGGAAAACATAGAAATTTTTAAGGGAGATGGCTATGTGTCCTGTAAAATTTCATGAAGTATTTATTAACATTTTCAAGCATTAGACAGTCTCATCTGACTTATGCTGGCTGAGGTCCTGACCTTATATTGTGAGAAAAACACGACATACCCAGTTAGTGACTACATTAACCAGTTACTGAATCTGTAAAAATGATGTCAAGATTTTCTAAACAGTCTGAGCTCCAGGCTCCATATAGCTGAATCTTACTAGTCATGGAGTTTCCCATAACCCAAGCATGATGTAGAATAACAAAATAGTTGATGCCCTAGATATTATCAAAATTCAAGTTTTTCCAAACTCACGTGACAGAAGACTCCCTAACCTACATTTCCTCTAATTTCCTGCAACATTCCTGAGCATCAAACTATCAGGAATGTTGTTAATATTCATAACAATACTATAAAAGCACCACCTGAAATATTTTAACCTGCTAAAATAGATTTTTCAACCTGCTACAATAAAAAATTTCAATTAAACATAAGAAAATAGATTCACATAAAGACTTTATAAATCAAATCATGTTCAGATATACTCACACTCACATCTTTTACAACACATGTAAATTTCAACACCCACTGCATAGGCAGAGATATCAGGGAAAACATATTACACATATTTTGTACACCTTAAGTGATAAGATGTACAGGGAGTCCCTGACTTAAGAAGTATTCGAGTTACGACAAATCGCACTTAGGATCATCCACCTTCAAGGCATACTACCTACGGACTATGTTTGCTCAGGTGATAGCTGCAATAGATGGAGATATGGTAACATTACACTATTTCTGGAAGAATTATAACATTCTTCAGTGTATGTGGAACACTGCATCTTCCTGGGAGGAAGTTACTGGAAAATGTGTGCAAGGGATATGGAAAAAATTGCTGAATTATGTGAATATCTTCCAAGCATTTGATCAGGATTATATGATGGAAGAGATCGGTGGGAAAATTGTCCATATGGCAAGAACGCTGAATTTAAAACTTGATATTGTCTATGTGGAACAGTTCATACATAGATCACGAAGAAGGGAAATTGACAGATCAGGACTTAATGGATTTTGAAGAGGAAAGAAATGCTGAAGAAGAAAGAAACAATGGGGAATAAGAAGTTGTCAAAAAAATTACAGTAAAAGGATTAACTGGAGTTTTTTCTAAACTAAATCAGGGGTTTCAGTTGCTTGAAAACACAGACCCAGATGCTGATCGCTTTGCTAAAGTCAATAGGCAGAATCGGGAAGCAATGAAATGTTACTGTGAACTATATGGAAAAAAAAAAGAAAAAGACCATATAGACAACTCTCACTAATTTTCTGACTAGAAACACCATCCCTATTCCCAGGGATAATCCAGATGATCTAGAACCTTCCTTAAGTGGAGTTATTTCCACAACTGACAAAATGCCAATGTCATCCAACTCTCCTTCATTGTCAGAGTAAATTTTTATGATTTGTGTACTTTTTAAATGTATGTACGTATGTATTAAAATATATCTGTAAGTTTATATGCAATGTTTCCAGCGTCCAGAGACAAAGATCGGATTTATAAAGATACTGATAATAAAAGGCAATAACAATGAAAGCTAAAAAAAAAAAAAATGAGGTATTCAACCTATATCAGAACTGGCTTACGATTGGAGTCATTGAAATGGAACCCCATCGTAAGTCAGGGACTAATTGTATACAAATAGAAAAACCTTTAGCTTCCTTTCTCTTATAAATTATTTAGTGGAAAGACTGATGTCAAATCTCTTGATTCTTCTAAAATTAGGGGACAATGGCCTAAGAGGCGTATATTACAGCCCCTGCTCAAAATATTGATAACAGAATCGGGGGGGGGGTTAAAAAAATGATGTTTTCTAAAAACCAAATATTGTTTAAAAACATATTTTTAAAAAATATTTCTGAAAAGAAAACAAAATCTCAAAGTAATTTTTTATTTTAAGCCACAGGTGCATTGTCAAGATTAACACGGTGGCAGATTTGGAATTGGAATGGGACCAGGTAACATCATGCCTGGATAGAAGGAAAGTGTAATATGAATTGACTAAAGACAGAGAGAAAACAAATGGAAAGTGACAAGCACAAAGGGGAGCAACAAGAGCTAATGGGCTGAGTAGCTAAGACTTACAACCAGCCCATCACCTAGCCTGCCCACTTGGCTTTTTCTTCCCCATCATCAGGGAACTATCCCCAGGACTAGGCTCCTAAACATCTGGATGGATGATGCACCTTGTACCATGTCAATAACAGCTCTCTTATTCTTATCGATTTGGTTCAACAGATGTTCACCTCAGACAGGGAAGACAAATGAGACACCATTGCAGAAAAGAAAAGCTACGTGCTCTGAGCATCTTCACTCCACAGGAAGGTTTACTATAGTAATAACGATAAGGAGAGTGAGCAGAAGTCTGGGGACAGCCCAGCCTGGGCCAGGAATAAAGAAATCTTCCCTCCTTCCTTTATTCTGAGAGCAGGTGAGTTTGGTGGCACTTGTGGGAAAGGCAATTTAACCAGAATGCTAGAGAAGCCCTGAGTGAAGGCTTACAGGGGATAGGGTTTCCAGTCTGAGGCTTGCATTGGTGGCAGCTTCACCTTTGTCTCTGCTGCTCAGAATGCAGGGGCTTGGAGCTGCAGCAAGACTTAATTTGTGACCCAGCAATTCCACTCCTAGGTATATGCCCAAAAGACTTGAAAGCAGAGACTCAACAAAAGACTTCTACATCAATGTTCATTGCAGCACTATTCACAATAGCCAAAACATGGAAACAACCTAGATGTCCATCAACAGATGAATGGATAAACAAAATGTGGTACATACATACAATGGTATACTACTCAGCCAGTAGGAGAAATGAAGTCATGATACATGCTACAATATTTATGGAGCTGGAAAACATTCAGCTGAGCAAAATAAGTCAATCACAAAAGGACAAATATTGTAGGATCCCACTTATATAAAAAAAAAACAAGAAAAGCTAAATATATAGAGACCAAAGTTTATTAGTGGTTACCAGGGGCAGGAGGGAGGGGGAAAAGGGGGATTAATAGTGATGGAAAAATGGCATTGATTAAGGGTATTGCACAGTTGATTACTATAATTGCTCTCAATAAGTTGTACGCTGCAAAAAGGTGAATTGACAAAGGTTGTGTGATGGATGTATTTAAAAAAAAGAGTAGCTGCTGAGGCTGCTTATGTACAACCAAACACTCATGGGATTTGGTTCCTCGGTTTGGAGGCTTACAATCATGGTTTCATGGGACATCCGGCCTAAAAACATGTTTAGTGCTTCTGTTCTACCTCTTAGTTTGCTGTATAGTGCCTGGGGTCTTAAAAAGCTTACAAGCAACCATCCAAGGCACAGTTTGTCTCTGTTGACCTGGAGCAACAGAAGAAGAAGGAGAGTCAGAAAAAGGAGGAGGATATGGAATGTGTGGCTAATTGCCTCCATGAACAACTGCCTCCTTTGCCATGAGACCAGAAGAACTGGATGGTGCCCGGCTTTCATTATTGAACACTTTGATCAAAGATTTTATAGAATAATCTTGACCAAAAGGGGAAAAACGCAGAACAGAATTCCAAATTCTCATGGACTCTAGACTTTACGGAGCCATGGAGGGTGGATGAACCCCTGAAACTACTGCCCTGAGATAATCTTTAAACCTTAAACCAAAAATATGCCCTGAAGTCATCTTAAAACTGAACAGTTTAGCTTACCTAGTTAAACAAACAGTCTGTCTTGAGCACTGTGCTCTTTTAAGAACTATCTAGAACTGGGTGGAGCCAACATAGCACTATAGACAGAAGTACCCACTGGCCTTCTACAGCAAAGACCCAAAAAACTAAGTAAAACAGATACAAACTTCAATCCTGGAATCTGAGCATCAAATGAAGGGATAAAGAACTCGAACAAGCACCAAATGGAATAAGAAACTGACAGAGACCAGAGAATGAGGAGAGCTACAGAGTGGAGGTCCCCTACTAGCTAATGCAGCATGGATTCACTATCTTGGACCTCAGCCACCAAGAATGGCAGACGAGAAGGACGGGAAGGTAAATTTATGGAGCTTCCAACTGGAGACAGAGCACCCAGTAACCAGGGATACATGATATCCCATCCCCCACCCTTCTTCCCTCTACACAGCCTCCACCACTTTCCAACAGGCCAGGGTCATTTGGTGGGAGAGACACCAGGTCACTGCCCTGGGACCACCCCAACCCAATGGCCGGCTCCTACAGTGCCATTTTTTTTTTTTTTTTTTTTGCTTTTCTCTCCCTCTCTCTTCCTTCCTATCTCTTCTTCTGGCCAGCTAGTCCCATGTGCCATCGCCGTCCCTTCTTGATGAACTGTGCCACACCACTCAGCTAGGGAGCCACCGGCACACGGCTTCCCCAGATCCACATCACCCCACACTCAGTGCCATTTCTTTTCTCTTCAGTTTCTTATCTCTCTTCTTTCTTTTCCTTTCTCTTGCCCATCTAGCCCTGTGTGCTGTCCCTACGAACCCTGAATGGGCTGAGCCACACTGCTCGGCTAGAGAGACTCCTGCTAACAGCTTCCCCCGGTCTGCACCACCCCACCAGCAGGCTCCCTCAGCGTGATTTTTTCCTTTCTTTTTAATTTTTCTTTTTTTTTTTTTGGTTTCTTCTCTCTCTCTCCCTTCCTTCCTTTCCTTTCTCCTAGCCCAACTAGCCCCATATCCTGTGCCCACCCCTTCTTGATGGACTTTGCCACACCACTCAGCTAGAGAGTCACTGGCACACGGCCTCCCTGGGTCTGCGCCACCCCCACTGGTAAGCTTCTTTGGTGCATTTTTTTCATTTTTATTTATTTTTCGTTGTTTGTTTTTCCTTTTTTCTTTTTTGTCTTGTTGGTTTTTCTCTCACTTCCCTCCTTCCTTTTCTTTCTCTCACCTTGTGTACCACTCCCCCCACTTCTTGATGAGATTTGCTGTACTGCTCGGCCAGAGAGCCTCTGGCACATAGCCTCCCCAGGTCTGTGCCGCCCCCACAGGCCAGCTCCCGCAGCACCATATTTTTTATTTTTCTTTGTCTCTCCCCTTCTCCCTTTTATTTCTTTCTCCCATCTAGGCCCTGCCCTGCCTCTTCCCCTTCCTGACGGGCCATGCTGCACTGCCTGATGGAAGATACATCAGCTCACCACACCCCAACAGCCGGCTCCCCCAGCACCATATTTATTTTTGTTGTTGTTTTGGTTTTGGGTTTTGG